TCTAGTTAACACCACTTTATAAACAGGTTTATTATTACTGGTGTAACTAACACAACGAAAAAAATATAATTAATATATTTGATTTTATATAACATGAAATTATTTTTTCTTTTCGATAAAACATTGCTTATTAGAAATATATTTAGTTGAAAACTTAGAGTAAACAATCAGTTCTTCTATCACAAAGTTTATTTTGGTTCAGTAGATTTTTCTATACATTATTTTTATGTCACCACCACTAGTGATTGGGTGACATATTGTAATACTTTCGAACGTTTATCTTGACACTGTTCAGTAGTTAATGTGTACTGTATACTTAACAAGGTGTGGTGACATTTTGCATGTTTCTGCATCGTCACTACTGTTGAAAGCTTATGTTGATATTGTAGCAGTGTTTTTTAAGTTCTTTTTGTTGGTACAATTAGTTTCCAAACTGACATGCTGGTGCTCTGAATCAGGTCGTTGTTAATATCTGACTAAGAGACAGCTTGCTTTCCCGATGAAGAAAGTTTATCTGCAGCTTTTATGAGTACTATAGTATCTACAACTATTTTTGATCTTATGAGTATTGGATACCATTATTTTCAATTTTTCTTCAACATGTATTTTAATGACTTCAGTATGAATGGAATGTCCCTCTGAGTTGTGGTCGTTGATGAGGAATTGGTCATTGAACGGTGTGGATGCTGTTTATTCCCATATTAGATTATTGTCTTGGGGTATTCAGGTTTGATTTTTGTTTGCCAGTTTTACACTTTACAGTTTGCTTTTCCCACTAGTTTGCTTTACACTTTTTCCTTTCTCATTTGTCATTTTTGTTTATATTTTGTAAGGATATGATATGCAGGTCTCTCCTTCTGTGTGATCACCTGTCCAGAAGATAATTCAACTGCATGAAGAACATTTCGTTTACATGATGCACAGTGAAAGGTTTTCCACACATTTACATTTTCGTTTAAAAGAGCTTTAATTCCGTTATATACTCAGATCAAGGCCAATTTAGCATACATTTCGCTCTCAAAAATCACTGTGCAATAATGAATTTCAAAGAAATGTTTGACGTTTTCAATAATCTTTTTTCTTTTTGATGAAATGTAGTTATTTATTCTAAAAATCAATCGATGTCATACACAAAATGCATTTAAGTGGTATAAAGTACAGAAGCAGAGTAAAAATATGTATTTTAGAATATCACCATGTGTTACCCCATTGTAGCACCTCTTGCTCATGTTTCTATCAATATAAAACATGATATCATACACCAAATATGCATTTATGTCAAATTATGTGGTTTAAAATACAGAAAAATAGATAACATTCTCCTTAGAATACCACCTTGTGTAACCCCACTTTACTGCCTTTTGCCCCTGTTTATATCAATATAAAAGGTAGCATGTAATATCCTTCCTTGTAACATGTGTAAAGGTTTCAAGAAAATCAGTAAAGTGGTTTTCCTGGAATCACAATGACAAGATTTATCCAAAAAACTTCCAAGATGGCCGCCAGAATGCAAGATGGCCACCGAAAGGTTAATTAGCTCTAGAACTTCTTACCATGTAATATGTGTGAACATTTGAAGTAAATCCGTTTGGTTTTCCTGAAATCGTGATGACAAGATTTATCTTTAAACTTCCAAGATGGCTGCCAGATTGCAAGATGGCCACCGAAAAAATAATGAGGTCTAGGACTTTTTACCATGTTACATGTGTGAACATTTGAAGTACATCTGTTATGTGGTTTTTGTGGAATCGCGATGACAATATTTATCTGAAAAAAATTCCAAGATGGCCGCCAGAATGCAAGATGGCCACCGCAAAGTTAATCAGCTCTAGAACTCCTTATCATGTAACATGTGTGAAAATTCGAAGTAAATCCGTCTAATGGTTTACCTGGAATCGTGATGACAAGAAAGTGAGACTTCAGAATGCCACCTTGTCTAACCCCGTTTTGGTGCCTTTTGCCCCTGTTTACATCAATAGAAGAGGTGTTTTCTTTAAGAGGGAAGTCTGTTCTTTCAAACGGTACAATCGTTTTATGTGGGAAAGTACCGGACAACAAAACCCCTTTTCTAGAGCCTTTTTGGAAATCAGATCGGGGACTATATAGGCATTACACGTGTTGTGTGTTTCCAATTGTTTCCTCCTGTGCTAAATTTTACAAATAAAGTTAATAAAAAACTTTCTTGAGTAGGTGATAAACTAAAGCGCTAACACGATTGATCAATTGTGTTCGACACGAAGGTCAGACATTGCAAACGGTTGGATTCGACAAACCAAAATGTCGGGATAGGTAAGTTTGAGAATTTGTATTTCATGAAATGACTTATTTTTGTAAGAACCAGATAATTTTCACTATTGCTATATACAGCATTCCTTGAAATGTAAAAGAAATGGCGTAACTTCGAGGTAAACGTTATAACTGAGGTGTATTTTGGATATTTTCAATAAAGGTACCGCCCAACTAATAATCATGTAATATACTCTACCCTGATAAGTTTTCTAAATACGACTTTAGTCCGAGATAATTCATCGCTTTGTTTCAATTAGTAAGTAATATGTCACGTAGGCTAAATTGAAAAACCTTGTCATTGACTTTATTACAAGATTTTTACAAATAAGTTAGGAAGAAGTTATGTAAGATTGACTCCCCAGTATCGATGCTAATGAGTTATGCATTTCTATCTTTCGACAATAGGACTAGGCAAACAGGAGTCATCCCAAATGACGAAAATGATGTTTTGGTAAATTCATAAAACAATCATTGCACTTAAAGAGACTCTATTGAGACTTCTCTGTGGCGTTTTTTCTTTATTCCTTTTTGTTTTGAATTTTTAACACCATAACATTAACTAACTACTCAATATACGTAGAATTTTAAAATATTAATGGAGCTCAATGGGAAAAACGACACAATTTGAATTATTTTCAAACGTAGCGGTGCGATTTTCTTGAAATTGACAGATATAATAAATATTGGCAAGGCGAAATGTTTGAAGAAAAATGAAGAAATTTCACCATCCTGGTTACGCAAAATATAGAAAAATGTGAAATAATCATAAAAACCTGTAAAAATAGATTGACGGGAGTGATATTCATTTTTAATGTGCCTCTCACTACTACAGGGTAACCATAGTTTTGGTAATGGTTTACTAGTTTTAAAAGCATATCTTCCAGCATGTGTATCAAGCACAAGTAATACAATAAGTGAGTTATCATTAATTGGAATGGTATTATTGTATTCCTCAGCAATGACGACAAAAAGGTAAAATCAATCATATCACATGCTAGTTCTTACCATCAGATCGATCGATTATAATGTATTTTAAACAATATGGCAATAGATCTTCAAATTCAAGAATTGAGCTAAATTGTAAGATAATAAAAAAAATTGCTAATCCCTTATAACTGTATAATCCCCTTCTCCGAATCATACTGAATTATAATATTTCGATATGCTTATTTTAGCTGCTGTAGTTTAAGTCACTTGATGAGATATTGAGTAACATGCTAAATAATCACTCGTAATAAGCAATATGAATTCTTCAACACAATCATTTTCAACAGCTTTTCAACACAATCATGAATTTAGTGATCTGATCCTTAAAATACTTTTCAGGGGGAATAGTTTGTCCACCTGTAGACGTATAGCATCTTTTTCTAGCCATATTTTCCTAGGCCTGCTGGAATACATATTTCAGTGTGCAAGTTTAGTATTGTTTTCCCATTGATCATTTGAGTTCTCGCGTCAATATTATGTGGAAATAAAATGATAAGATGTCAAAAGAGTAGTTTACTTTATTGTAAGAAATCAAAAATAAAATAAGGTTTGGGCAGGAAGGGAACAGGTGAAATCCTTGGGAAACATGAATTAATTAATTATACGAAACATATTCATGTTTCTACACTTTAGGGTAACCCTGTGTTTTATTCCACTGGGACTGGTTATACCGGTGCAAAATATTACAAAAATATTATTTACTTATTATCATAATTCAATGTGACAATATCAGTCTTATCTTCAAATTTGTCTATAATAGTTTGCCTGTAAGGTTGGGCAAGCCGTCTTTTACGTTGATTGTATAAGATGTTGATTTTGCAAAGCTCTTATGGGCTAATTCTACAATATGTACAGTAAAATATATGTAAGGGTGCCAGTATGTAGTCCAGTATATAATAAACAAAGGAGTAATTTGGTCAACTCAATACATCAGATCTGATAAACACTACATGAAGTGTTTTCTATGCAATGATTATATACAGGCACTTATTCATTGTTACTGCGAATTTCAAAAGCCTCCAAATTGTGTGGAATAGAGCATGCAATGTTTTTCAGTTTCAAGCAGGTTTTAGTACATTCTGACCAATTGTATTTTCAGACTTATTCATTTCATGATTATGTAATCTGACCTACTTATCTGCCTAGCATATCTTTAAAATTCTACACCAGTTGAATGTAAATTTCAAACAAACTTGTTCGAATGGTACATAATCTAGGGCATCTCTGGATAACTACTAGACGACGTCTACGATCTATTAAAAAGTTTACCTTTGGAACGTTATCATGATACGAACACGATCATGTGATTGAGGTGCGATCAAAGGTTATCAATAGATGAATACTTCTTCTAGGGATTAGTTGCCAAACCCGTTACACGTAATAGAGGCGGTAAATTAGTAATTACACAGTTCCTACCACCTAGGTGGATTTCCATCGTGAAACTCCTTAATTTCCACCTTACCACCACTCCATGTATGGTCGATTTTTAGAGCTCAGCAGAGAGTTTAACTTCTCACCAATCTGACACCTATTTTTCGAAACCACCTTGACAATAATGCCCATGTTAGTTTTTTTATCAAGATTTGTTCAAATCTGGTTTTGTTATTTATTTAATTCTTCATTTATAGCCATTTCCTCAGTTAAGATGGCGTTACCAAGGGCAACATGGTGGTAACAGCAGTACGGTGATAAGAGGCAGTGCACCGAACGGTAACAAGTTGACATGGCGGGTTTACCAACAAAGAGTGATGCCTCTCAGAAGGAAGTAGAAGGGCGCGCATATGAAGAATCTCGTGGAGCACTTGAAGATTCTGGTAATTTACTTTAACTTTTATTATTAACAAGTTCGAGACAACCCTTGTTATTTTCACATATCTTTGATATAGAATATGCATGTCATGATACGCAATAAAATCAGGGGGTTAGTATCGCGCAGACCTTCTGAATCTGATGAGGACTCTTAACAAATGTAAAAGAAACGAGTGAATTCTGTTAAGGAATGCCCCTTTTGTCGATGCATTAAAGCAAAGCATATGGACAGATCTACAATGATTTTATCCTTTTCAATTTATTTCAAGGCTGAGTTTGACTAGTTTTCATCCAAATCCAAACCTCTAATGTAATTTGTTCATTGGTTCAATTGATTAAATGAGAAAAACTGCTTATATTATAAGAGTAAAATGTTGAAGATTAGAAGTAGTCATCTTTAATGCCCTAGGATCCAATAGTGATCCACATACTCCGTATTAATAATATTGTTTATTTCGATTCCCTTTTCAGATGAACTTGATGAGCGATATCTGTACTTGATTGCAAGAAAAATAGAACCAGACAAGTACTTTGACATGGGTATGTTACTTGGCCTGGAATATTCGGAAGTCGAATCCATTAAAACAAGCAACCCACACAGTTCTAGCCAATGGGTGTTTCTCGTATTAAACAAATGGAGACAAAGGCAGGAGATGGATGCTGACAAAATACAAATTCTTGCAGATGCACTTCAGGAGATAGGAAAAGTTGATCTTGCAATTAAAGTCAGGGCAGCCAAAATGACATCCAGTAAGTCAGTAGGTATCGACATATTATGAGAATCATCAGAAACTGACGATTCTGATTTCAAAAATTGATTGGGAGCGTGGCAGATAAAAACTAAACGACTCATGGTACACACTACACAGTGAGGTAGGTTTTATTTAATATAAGGAACCAGTGTCAAAAATCATCAAAAACAATATTATTGAAATCGAATCGATCGCTCACAACTTCACTTTTTAGTTTCAGCTATACCGTCCACTTCTCGTTCGAAGTCTCGATGTGACGAACTGTTAGTAACCCCGAGTAATGGAATTGCTCAAATTTCATTCAATATACCACATATCCCACCAGGTAAAGTTGTACCACTTGCAAGTCGATATTTATATTATTTAATGGTTATAATTATTTATTGATAAGATGTAATTTAGGCCTACTTGTCAATTGACGTAAAAAATCGTGTAAAAAAGTCTGGATTGCACAAAAACAAATAGAACAGATAATGTCATTCTCATGGTTAACTGTTCCAAATTATTTGTTCTTAATTATTTGTTTTTAAATAAAATGATCCTTTTTGGTTTTGAATTGCTACCGGTTTTGAATACTGGATGTTTGAAGAAGAAAGGCAACTTCCAGTAGTTAACAGTTGGAAATTGAAAAGATCACTATCACAGGCTTGTATCGAAAAAGCGATCAAATGCATACCATTGCTAAGCGTTCACAAATATAGCAGCTATAGCTATCTTTCTTTTTATGTGTTCATAAAATGGCGGCAACTGTAAAGTACTTTCTATTGGTCTCTGCTACAATACTCCAAACGTTTTTAACCCCTGAATTTCCAGGTTTCTAAATGTGCATATGTACTTTAGGGTCGCCTGGAATGCATATTGAAATAACAACTAAAGACAAAGGAATGGGTATTACTTTATCTCCTTTGTCAAGTGCCGCAAGTACAGTTCAGCAAGAAACCAGTATTGAGAAAGAAGCTTTGAAAACTGCATCAGACCCAACGTCTAATCAACCATTGGTTGACTGTTTATGGCAAAATGGAGTGAAACATGAAATTAGCACACAAGGTTCACTTGTGATTAAAGTGAAAGTGGTTGATCAGCAGAAGGCAGCAAAGTTGATCGAAGACTTCAATACTGGCTCATTGACGATGACTTTGGTTGAGCTATTGATTCCAGAAAATACGAGGAAGAAATATATCGGAATATCTTTCACTGTGCAATTAACCTTAGATGAGGGATTTGTTCGTGATTGCTTAGGTATAAAGAATGGTAAGTAGTTGTGAACAAAGTCGGAGTCCGATGCAAAAGATCAATGGCGGATGATTACCTTTATACTGATACTTAGAAGAGGGAGGGGTGTTGTCGCCCAATTAATTAAGTTTTGCCGACATTCTTTGTTTATTCACTGGGATTTTTGTGGAATTTTTGTACAGTGTGTACACCGTCGTTGCTTTCCGAATTTTTCAAAAGGAGTGGTATCGATATCGAGAACTGAATTCAACAATGTTTCTTTCTTAAACCAATCATTGAAAACATTCTGTAAAAAAACATTTTTATTGTTTTTGCTCCTTTCTACCAATTCTTGAGAATGAAATAAAATGTCTTTCCGAACCTTGTTGGAACAAAATAGCACATACAACATGTTTTTAGACGTCTCAATATTATAGATATACAAAGGAATTTTTGTTTAATTTTAAAAAAAGTATTCAAAATTAAGACAAAATCCCCCCCTAAAATAGATAAAAATCAAGATAAACCTTTAGTACACGGAATTCATTACAAAAAATGGCCCTTATGATTTTGGATGGAACAAATCGTGAATTTTATTTCAGTGGATCTGTGAACCATTTAAAACATTTTTATCCGCATGTACAAAGTTCTAGAGCTGTTTTGGGGGAGAAAATTGATTTTGTACCCCCACCCATAATTTTCAGAGGGGTAAAATTTCAAAATATTATAATAAAATATTCCTCCTTAATTTTGGGGAATCTTATGTTGCCACAATCTAAATATGTTATATTTTAGGCTTATAAGATATTTTAATGATGTCTGCCTAAAGAAAAGTATGGTTTTAACCCTTTGATGTCCAAATATAGACATTCTTTAAGTTCTATGTTAATAACATTTTATTGTATATCTTCTCTTCCAAGATGGTTCTAGAACTGAAATAAAATCAAGGAGAAATTTGATTCATGCTTCAATACATGTTAAGATTTTTGAGTTCATACAGGATTTATTAGATAAGAAAAAAATTAACAAAATATCTGGCCTGTGGTTATGGAGGGGGGAGGGTAAGTAGACATCAATGTCAAATTAAAGCATACTGTCATACTAGTTATATTTTGTGCATTAGTTGTATCAGTATTGATGGAATACCTATGTTGCATTGTAATTGATTGTCTGTAGGTGACATTTCAGACTCAAAAGTGCTGATTCAGCATATTTTATTATATCAGTGTCAAAGTTCGAAAGCTTGTTAGAAACTGTTCAATAGCACAATTGTAGATCATGCAAATATTTTGATTTTTACATTTTGTGTTGCTGGAAAAAGATGTAACAGATCTTTAACTTACAATAAAATATCTTCATCCATATACAAAAAAATGCAATTGATAGAAAAAATGCACATTTTACTTCATTTTTATTACAATGCTTATTGCGGTAGCTACAAACGAGTAATGTATATCCATTAAGCACATTTGATAACAAAGCATATTTATAATCACTATGTCACATTGAAAGTATTAGATATAATTCTAAATAAACTTTGTTAAGTATTTTTGAATAATTGATTAGAGCCCTACTGGGACCCCAATAGTAGAAGATTGGCGACCACTGACCAACAACTGCCAAACACAAAATGCTAAGCACTTGACTCCTTATGATAAGGTATTCACATATTTTCTTGCATTCATGATAAATAATGCATACATATTCTGAAAGGTAATTGATTAAACTATGTAGAACTGAAGTCAGAATGAAAAAAGCTTCTCTGGTTGCAAAGTTATTGCGAAATACCCCAAAACCCTTGAATGGGTATAAAAAACAAAAAAACAATTAAGGGTAAACTTACTACATGTATTATGAGATAAATAAAGGTGATAAGGTTCAGATGAGCAAATAACATCTTCTGCTGATATTTAAACACCATTTTTTATGAATGCTGAGGACGCAGTATTAAAAGGATAGTCTCAAAATATATAGGTCTGGGAAATGTTTAAGGCATACTGCGTCGCTATTAAATGAATTGCATTACTATTTTCACAATTTTATTGATATTTGGTGTCAAATACACATATCTTGGTATATTTGAAGTCCCAAAACGGCTAAGTTTCAGAAATATCCCAATTTTAAATTCAAAAATGACCGTTAGCTTCGCACCCTCCACTCATTTGCGCCGCACCCAATATTTCCCACAGGCTCTGTCTGCATAGGGTGTACAAGGTAAACATCAAATCAATAGCTTCTTTTAATAGAGGACCAAAAATTAACATTTATACGTGTGACTCCCAGTGAAACAAGTATTTTGATTGGTTTTGTGAAGATTTTTATGGGTGACACCCCACATTCATACCATTTGGTCATTTGAAGAAGTCCTATTTAGTACTCAAAAATCAGGACACAACTTAGATCTAAGCACCACTGTCAGTAAAAAGTCAGGCCACCCCCCCCCCAAACTACCAATATCCAAATGCCTTTATTCTAATCCCTCAAAACCAAACACACAGTTCAGGACTTAAATGACGTCCTACTAGGTGTGCTGTTTGAAACTTTACTTATTTGAAGCTACCGCACAGATTGGCAAAAATGAACGATGCAATGCATGAGGAAAAGTACTCATAGAGATGAAGAAAAAATTTGGAATTTGAGGCAGGGAAGTTGCACACCATCACACCATCAATATATTTCGTCTGAGATTTGTCTGCTCTTCAGCCCTTTCCGCAGCTGTTTTTTAATGTTTGATTCATCAATATGTTGCGTTTTGGGACACAGTTATCCTCTTAAAAGAAAAAATGCATTCAATCAGGGGTTTTAAAGATGTCAATTGTGAGTAACCAAAATTAAGCTGAAAACAATGGATTGCATGAGTTTTCCGTATGGGAAAATACCATGGGAAATATTATGTTCCACTTTATCCCAAAGGAATGCATTTTTCCTTTTAAGAGTTAACGCTGTCTCAAAACATAACATACATGGTGTCCCGAAAGTATCCCCCCTAGGCAGACCTATTCCATTGTCTTCGTAGTATGTATCATATCAATTATCCAAAGTTACATTGATTCGGTAAGTATCATGGTTCAACTCTCAAATGTGAAAAAAATACAAGCATTTCAATCTTTAGTGTTTGGCATCTTAACAGCAGCAATCTTTTTGGGTTGGTTGGATATTGATTTGGAAAAAGAGACGATGAGGGTTGATACTACAAGGAAACTCTTCAGAAGTGCCTTAAAGGGTTTACAAGGGATTTGTAAGGGATTACAAAATTCAACACCCCGAAAAGCTTTTAAGGTCCTATCTGAAAAGAATTGCTGCTGGTAACATAACCGAGGGAGGACTCATTGACTTGTAATGTGGTGTGAAATTGAACTCTATTTTTGCCAAACACTAAATTTTAAAATGACTGTCACTTTTTCCCATTTGAGAGCTGAATCATGATTCTTGACAAATCAATGTAACTTTGAATGAGCTTTAAAATGATATATGACACATACTATGATGACACTGGTATATGTCTGCCTAGGGGGGGGGGGCAAACTTTTGAGACACCCTGTAAAATGATGCATCAAACATTGAAAAAACATGTTGGTGGATTGTTTGCACCTTCCCTATCTCAAAGTCCAAATCTTTTTATCATCTCTATGAGTGCTTGTCCAGGAGTTAATGCATTGGCCTAACGTATGCACCTGTTATAAACCTCAGAAATAGCCCAAATCCAACATGTGAATGTCTGAAGCCTGTTGTGATACTTTCCATGCTTCTTTTCATGTTTTTCTAATTCATGTATGCAATATCCTAGAGGCGAGTAGAAATAATCTTGATTTACGTCATTGAAAATTCAAAATTCAGTCAAGCTGATATATTTGGAATCTACATGTAAAATTACATTTTGAAATGTGGTTTTGAAAAGAGTTTATCTACTTTGAAAATTTAATTTTCTTTGAAAATGTGACTTCTAGGTCGGGGAGATTCCCCATAGACCCCATGTTGTAAAACCACAAAAAGTGAAATATCTTCTTGTGTTGGGCAGATAATATTTTCATTTACTGGACATATTTTAATTTGTATAACCATCACATACATAAGGCTAATATGAAAAGTGAACCACTAAAACTGATGAATATTCAAGTTTAAGGGAATTTCGTAATACCCTGCCATGTTATTTCCCCTGAATCAGCCACCTGGTGGCGAAACTGGTAACTACCTACTCGCATCTGAGTAATTGCATATTCTTTTGTATGGATGACAATATTTTAGTGAAACTTCAGTATTTAGTCAATAATTCTTCTAATGTCATATGATGTATGAGCTAGAACTATTGCTCTTGTGTCAAGTGAACCATTAGACAGTTCTCAACATAATGTCAAACTCAGACTCAAAAATGTGCCGAATCAGCACTTTTGATAGTGATTCATAAAATATCAACAATCAAATTTTGCATGTCTTGAGGTACCCTACATGTATCTGAAGTCAATTTGAATCTTGGTGATATGCTTAGATATATGACTTGCTAGATTTTATCAATTTTCAATGGTAATGCTTCAATCCTAGAAGAAGCACCAATGTGCTAAAGAATTTTTT